AGAGAATAAGTCCCTTGTTCATGGTTCTGGAAGCCGGGCTGTCTGCACCCTACCTGGCTACCCCATTCGAAGCTCCCACTTGAAATCAAACCCAGTCATCTTTTCTACCTATTGCCTCCAGGGTTACAGGAAGTATAGACCCTGTCGATGAATTGTAAAACGCCAGGGACCTGTGAAGAACTGGGGGGTGAAGAGAATGAATTCCCACAGGAGGGAGTCAGGGATCGCGAACCCTCCGGAGAATCATTCTCTTTCTCAGACTCAATCCTTCTGCTGCAAATCTCAACTTGGCTGTCACTTTCTCTAGGAAGCATCCACTCACCCCCAAACCCAGGACAGATGCCCCTGTTCCAGGCTCCGACGGTCCCTGTACCTGTTGGCTACAGCTGCTTGTGTACCTGGTACACCCCACAAGGGTAGAGCCAGTTCCACCTTCTCCACCAGCATCTGCCCAGAACAGTACCTGCCACATGTGAGGACTCAACCAGGACTATAGGAGGCAGGTGGGGAGGAAGAGGGGGGAGGGAGGGAAGGAAGATAGGAGGAAGAGAGAGGAGACAGTGGAAGAAAAAGGGATGAAGAAGGGGAAAGGAGGGAGGGAAGGAGGGAGGGAGGGAGGAAAGGTCTTTACTGAAGTTCGAAATGGCATCATGCTGAGATGGGAAAGGTAAAGGCCTGGAAGCCAGGGACCCCATATGAATAAATGACTGACCTTGGGCAAGTTCATTTTGGGGTCAACTGAAAATGAGGACCATAGCATCTTCCTCGTGTGTTTCAATGGAAGAATGAGCCAGGCTGGAATGTGCTCCTCTACATTCTCTCTCCCTCGGTCTCATGCGTTTTGTCAGCTGGCTTCTGATTGCTGACAAATCCCGCATGTGTCTCTCCAGCCCAGACTCCACCCACCTCAGGTTCCATGTTGAGATCTTGAGCATCTCCAAGAAAGCATTTGAATTTTCTCCCCTAACTCCAACTTGCTCCTAACCCAGCCTCCTCCACTCTGTGACTGGTGCTCCCTTCCACCCAATCTTTTTTTTTTTTAAATAAGTGAGGTGACATTCATATAACATAAAAGTAACCATTTTAAAGTTAATACATTCATAATGTGTGCAACACCACATCTATCAGATTCTAAACATTTTCATCACCCCAACAAGGGAAGGGGAACCCACTTACCCTTTAAGCAGTTAGGCATCATTTATCCTTTCTCCCCAAGCCCGTGGCAAACCATGAAACACCAATCCATTTTCTGTCTCTACGGATTTACCTATTCTAGATATTCTATCAATAATAATAAAAGTGTAATATGCTAATTAGAGCAGACATCCGAACGACCTTCCAGACGTCCTTCTGGATGACCTTCCGGACGAAGCTGGGGCTGTGAGGGCCAAGGCAAGCCACTGTGGCTGCGAGGACCGAGCAACCTGGCACTGACCACCAGGGGGTGGCACGGAATGAAGGAAGGCCCCGGCCAGCAGCTAGAAGGCCCCAATTGGCCCTGATCGCTGGCCAGGCCTAGGGACCCTACTTGTGCACAAATTTCATGCACTGGGCCTCCAGTTTCATATAAAGGGAATCATACACTATGTGATCTTTTGTGATTGACTTCTTTCATTTAGAACAGTGGTTCTCAACCTTCCTAATGCCATGACCCTTTAATACAGTTCCTCATGTTGTGGTGACCCCCAACCATAAAATTATTTTCGTTGCTACTTCATAACTGTAATTTTGCTACTGTTATGAATCATAATTTAAATATCTGATATGCAGGATGTATTTTCATTGTTACAAATTGAACATAATTAAAGCATAGTGATTAATCACAAAAACAATATGTAATTATATATGTGTTTTCCGATGGTCTTAGGCGACCCCTGTGAAAGGGTCATTCGACCCCCAAAGGGATCATGACCCCCAGGTTAAGAAACACTGATTTAGAACGTTTTTGAGGTTCAGATGTAGCATGTATCAGCAGCACTTCATTCCTTTTATGGCTAATATTCCATTGTGAGTTTGTACCACATTCTGTTTAATCCATTCATTTGTTGATGGACACCCAATGTTAAACCAAAAGACAATCCTTGATCCTTCCCTTTACTCTGTACCTCAAGTCTAATGTATCAAGTCCTATACATTTGACATCCAAACTATAGCTCCAATCCTACTTTTCTCCAATACCATTGCTATGGTGCAGCCAGGACACCAGCATCTCTCTCCTACCTGCAAATCTGTGACAAGATCCCATTCTTCTCTCTACTCCACTCTTTGCCTGGTAACTGTATAAACCAGCTCATCCATTCACCTCTCCTCCATGGAGCTTGTCTCCCAGAGGCTCGACAGACAACAAACAAATACTATAACGCCAGGTCATTACTAGACTTAAAATACTCCAAAGATTTTCCACTGCAGTTTGAGGAAAATCCAAGCTCAGCATGGCCTTCCAAGGACCCATCTACTTCTCCAAACTCCTCTCAGGCTGCTCCCCAGTCACGCTGAGCTCCAGTCCTCCACCTCGTGGTCCTTGAGCAAGCTGTTCTCTCTGCCTCTTGGTCTTGCACTGCTGCATCAATCTTGTCCCTCCGATCTCTGTAAATATCACTCCTCAGACTGACCTTCCCCAGCCACTCTGTTAAGCAGACTCACCCTTCATCCATTTCAATCATTCAATAAATCTGTGCTAAGCATGGTGCTGGGCTCTTGGGATAAAGCAATGTCTGAACTCCTGGAGCCTTCAGACTAATGGGGAGGACCAACAAATGGATGGACAAGTGCCATAAAGGGAGAGTAAAAGGGAGGGACCTGCTTTACACAGGATGGTCCAAAAGGCCTTTCTGAGGAGGTTAGATTGAAACTGGGGGATGAGAGGGACTCAGCTGGGAAGAGGTCCTATTACTCTCTATCTCATCCTGGCTGTGCAATGCAATGTTGCATCCTTCATGGTTTGCTTTTGAAGAAGCAAAGCATTTCATGTCCGTCTCTCCTCATAGACTGTACAGTATTTCCAGCACCTAGGATAGCACCCACCATGTAGGAGGCAGTCAATACTCATTGATTCAATGGATAATCGGATAAATATGAATGTTAGTAAATCCACCAATGAAGTCACTTCAAGAAGCATAATAAATCATATCACTTTGGTATTTGTTGCTATTGATATTGATTTATTGCCAAAGGACTCCTCCTCTTTGGGGTTTTGGAAAACTGGGTTGCCGGTAAAATGAGAATAAAAGCACCTAACGTGGAGGATTACTGGATCACTGGAGAGAATGAACAGACATAACAGGCACTCAGTAACAGGCAGCAGCAGTCACTGTGGCTAATATAACTAAAGGTTCTTTCTTTACAGAAGCTGATGTATTCAACTAAACGCCAAAATCCATTTTCAGACGCAGTCACGAAGTTAAAAGGTAAGAAAAATGAACACTTTAAAAAATGCCTGCTCTGCACCGGGCACAGTGCAAAGCACTTCGTCACTTATCTCATTTACTTCTCAGCCCATCCTTCCAACGGCCTGCCTGGGACAGCTCTCAGCCCCACCTGAGACCACGTGCTCCTTACTCCCCCAGCTGCAGGCAATGCTGTTTCACAGCTCACAGCTGAGTCCACCTTCAGGCACCGTCCTGCTGAAGGGGCACCTGAGGGTATGCCCCTCTCTAGGAATAGCCTGCACCCACTGGCTGGTCAGTGTGGGGCTGCAAAGGCCTGGCCCATGCCCCAGGGGTCAATGGATTCCATCACAGATCAACTCCCCCCTCCCCACCCCAGAGTAAGACCACTCCCCAAGAATCCCCTACACAGGAATCTCAATCTCTTAGTCTTTTTTTTTTTTTTTCAGAGAACCGGACCTATGGCAGGTGGGTCTGATGCTTTCCTTTGAAATCAGAAAACAGGTTCAGAAAGGTTGATCATGTCCCCCGGGCACCCAGCTAAAGCAACTTTCTGGTCTGTCTGACTCCCCAGCAGACCTTGCTCGTTACTACAGCCTGAGTCTAGTAGCTGAGGCTGCGTCTCTGTGAGACAGCGAGAGGAGCCAGGGCGAAGGGAAGGCCAGCAGGTAGGAAAACGGAAGCAGGGGTGCCCTTCACTCTCCTCCAGGGGCCACCCCTGATGACAAAGGCGAGGTCACAGTTTCCAGAAACAACATGAAAATGACCTGCAGAAGCAGGCATCACATGGACACCATCTCCCCGCCCTAATGAATCCGTGGCTAGAAGGCAGGGAGGGGGGGCTCCTGGGCACATGGGGCTTCCTTAAGGGGCCCAGAGTATTTGCAGCCACATCCCCAAGAGTAGCTACAACTAACCAGCTTTCTCCTGCTCCAGTCTCCATCGATTTTCCAGAGCTGCCACAGTGACTGGGTCACTGCATAATTTCCCCACTGCCCTCCCTCATCCCAGGGCAGAATTCTACAAAGTCTAAGGCCACTTTTTAAGGTCCGTGCATGCTTTTGCCCCCTGTGGTGTTGACAGCTAATTTCCTACCCCAAATAGGCCCCCATCTTACTTGGTTGTCTGACGCAGGACTATCTGGGTACTGAGCTTTCCACTTTCTTTATCTTTGCACAAGAAAATCTATCTGGACTCCCTGCCATCCCATCCACTCCCAACACACACAGCTTTCAGCCAGGAAAATCCTCCTGCTCCTCTGGTGCCCACACAATAGTCACCTCCTCCGTGAAGCCTTCCTGGCTTGCTCACGGTCCTCCTCTACACCTCAGTTCCCTGTATTCCAGTGCACTTATACCTGCTCCTCTTCTCGTCCTTCTTGGCCCCACGAGCTCCTCCAAGGCCCTTCTTCGCGCCGCTAGGGCTTACTTAGCACAGTGTCTGGCCCACAATAGGAGCCCAATAAATGCTGAATAAATACACGGGGCGCTTGGCAGGGAAGCAAGCGCTTTGAGAGGATTTTCCTGCGCCCCAGGATGACGAGGAACAGGAAATAGCATGACAAATCTGACCCCGAGCCCCAGGGCAACAGGCCAGAAGGTTCTAAAGACCTACGCGGAGCAGAGGGACCGGTCGCTGAGGTCCCCGACTCCCCGCAAGCTCTTCCCCGGGCCCTGGCGCGGGGTGCAGATCATGCGAGGAGCCGCTACGCAGAGCCGCTCTGGCTCTGCATTCCCCGCACATGGACCCGTCGATCCTAGGGACGGGCCGGGCCGGGCAGCAG